ATTGGAAACTCTGAGGGTAACTCCAGTTTCACTCTCCAGGATTCTATGAAAGCATACCTTTTCTGAGGATTTACTTTGTGTCAAGCCCTGTATTTGCTGCTAAGGATTACAGACATGAATAAAACACTGTTATTGCCACCAAGAATGTAAGCCCTCATTCAGGCTTTATGGTAGGGTTTTCACTAGCTAATCCACCCTCCTCCTCTGACCATACCCCCCATTTCTCAGTCCATCTCTCTTAAAAAAATGTTATTCCTAGTGCAGTTCAAATAAATGTCAACCCTAGCAAACATATCTGGAACATTTTTGAGAGACTGGAATTCTACTTGCAAGAAATATTGTTCGAATCCTAAAAAGACACATTAGTTACAAAGGAAGTTTAAGAACCTCAATTACAAGAAAAATCAAAGGTAAAGGCAATAATGAAGATACTGCAGTGAATCAAATTGTGTAGAAATTGTAGGTACTAGAAACCAGAAGAAACCATTAGAGAGTTCATTCGTCAACAACCATCTGTAAGTGAGATACTCCGGTGTTATGACAAAGGAACTAAAGGCAACACAATCTAAAGGCAACATAATCTAATTCTCTTAAAACCAAACAATCTGAGAGCCCTTCAAAGATAGTTCCCATGAATTATTCACATGACACATCACATATACTCAGGAAATGGATAGTCTGACAAGTTCAGGTTGCCAGCAATTGAAAACAGAGTAATAGGTACGTCTCAAAAGGATTAGAAGTATGGATATCTCTTGTGATCAAATAGATATAAAGTTGTGGACTGTTTTCAATAAAATGTGTAGCCAAAGAGGTGGCAGCTTGGTATCAGAGAGATTGTGACAATTCAGGGCTCAAGGAACCTCTCCACTTTCCAACTTCAAGGAACAGAAAGCGGATGGAAAAGTTGCTCAGGCCCAAGGAAGACACATTCTCTAACCTTCAGAGGTAGCCAACGAGAACAAGGGAAAAGGAAAGACTTTTACTTTCCAGAGGGTGGAGCCAAGAGCCACAAACAGCTGCCTGAGTTGCCCCTCTTGGGAAGCAAAACCAGGGTCTTTTCTTATCCTGTCCACAGGGTACAGGGCTCTTTGTGTCTGACCATTCAGTTTTCAAATTTCCATGGAACAACCATTGCTCCCTTTTCTTAACGAGAGAGTTTCAGTGGAAGTGATTGTCTGTGTTCCAGCGTTGAATGCTGGGCATAGGGGGAAGGTTGATTCGAAGCCTCCATATCAAGAGGAACCACACTGGTGTAGAGATTATTATGAAATCCTGGACTTGAAGTCTGTTGCCATCATTGAATGGGATTTTGGAGTGTTTTCTGTGAAGAGGAAGTTAAATACAGCATTTTGGAAAGTAAGAGAGGCAGGTAAATATTTGTGACCAACATGGAGGACTGTACTAAATCACATAACCATTTCAAGTCATTGTGCTTACTTTCAATACACATCTGCTGTTGGTCCCCACCCACTGCCCCAGATTTGCAGTGCTTCCCTGTGGAGGAGGGTGCTTCCTTACCCCTTTGACAATGAACTTGGCCATTCAATCTGCTTCGACCAATGAAATATGAGTAGAAATTTCTGTTGCAAGTTTTGAAAAAAAGCTTTACAAAGCCATTATTATTTCTGCCAGCTCTTTTATTCTTTTCCCTCTGTCTCAAGAAGGACATGACACCCATCGAAGTTGATCCTCCAGCCTGGCTCCTGGAATTAAGGCACAAGGAACAGAGCTACAGCCAACTTGCAGCCAACAGAAAACTAGGTGGGTTGGTCAGATTAAAGCAATGAAGCAGGACCACTAGGAATGATGCAGAATATGAGACTTTTAAATAAGGATTTGACCTTGTATGTAAGACAAAGTGTATTGATCAGGTTCAAGCTGAGAAGCCAAACCACTAGGAATGACAAAGAATATGTAATTTTTTAAAGTAAGTATTGAACCTTAAAGTACAGACACTGGTAAAAGAGTTTCAGCTTGACTATTTCAGGGGTGCCAAACCTGAAGTTGTAAGGCAGTTGGTCAGGATCGAAAGATAGGCATGAGGTGGGGGTGAACAAGGGCAACAGGAATTTATGGGGAACCAACTGGAGCAGGAATCCATTTATCACTGAACCCCACGTTGGCCTCTTCCCATCTCAGAGTTTCCAATGCCGTTGCTGTGGATACCCTGCAGGAAAAGCGTGTGTTCTTGCTGCAGAGCCACACTCTTGGATCAGGATTTTGGAAGCTGAGGGAAGCCATCCATGGGGACCGGAGCTTTGGGTGCAGTCCATGCAGTCAGAAAGCAGGTTGGTGAAAAAGTACACGAGCTATAACAAAGTCTGGCCCACGTGGACCTTTGAAAGATAACTGTGGCCCCTGCTCCACTCCATCTTCTAAATCTTGCACAAATTGTACTTGCAGCCCATTCCTAATCTAGAACGTATAGGGAAAGGAATCCTGGGACATACAGTTCAGCTTGGCCAAGCTGACACATTTCAGAGCCACTATGTGGGACAGTAAGAGGTTATTGCTACAACCCACTTAGATTTGGGGGTTGATTTTTACTATAGCATAATTGTTCTGATCAAATGTCCAGCTTCCAGCACCTGCCAGATCATTAGCCTTTCCAGGCTTTGGCTCATGTATCTGCTTCTGGCCCCAGAAAAGTTCTGTGCTATGTGTGGCAAAGAGCCCAGCCAGACTTAGATTGTATAAAGATCTTTTTCATTTATTTTAAGTGCTTTCTATGCATTAGACTATGCTAATCATAGAAACTATAATTAACATAGAAACTAGAAAAGCATTGTCCCTCTCTCTTCCCAAAGCTCACAGTATAGCAGGAGAGACCAACACCAGTGAAAACCTGGTTCATGAACCATAATTAATGATGATCACTTCAACAGAAAGGTACCAAGCGCTATAAGACCTAGAACCCCATCTGAGAGGGGCAGGGAGCCTGCTCCAAGAGAGAGCTATTTGCACCTACAAGGTGAGTAGGAGAGACAGTCTGGGAAAGGACAGGCCAGAGGCAAAGGAAATAGCCTGTTGAAAGGGCCTGAGGTGGGACCAAGCTAGGGAAGCTGAGATAACGCCAGTCTGGTTGAGGGTGTGGGGTGGGGAGGAAAAAATGAGACTGGAAATAGGCAGAAGCAGATCCCCCAGGGCCCTGTAGGCTAGGGAGATGGTGTTGAACTTTATCTGAGAGGAGCAAGGACAAGTCACTGAAGGATTTAATCAGAGAAACAACGTAAGCATATATTTATAAAGAAAGGCTCATTCAGCACTGGCTTGGAGAATGCATTGGAAAGAGGCCAAACGACAGGTTGAATTGGAGACAGAGAACTTCAGGTGAGAGAAGGTGGCAGCTGGAGCTCCAGAGGTGACAAAGGAGATGGACAGTGTCACATTCAAAAACTACATAGGGGATGGTGTTGACTACTCACAAGCTTCTGGCCTGCGTAGTTGGATGGAAGGTGATGCCATTTAAAGGGACAGACAAGAGCAGAAGACGATGGGGCTTAGGTAGAAGGGACATCAATGAGCACATGAGGGATTTAAACAAGCACACGAGTGTGTTTGTTTATTGGCTGTAGTATTTTTGTATTGATTTGTCAATAGCATTTCCCAAAGTATAGTCACTAGCCTCTCAAAGAGTAGCTAGTGGACCAGCAGCCTTGTCTAACGCAGAGCTGGTTAAAAATGCAGAATCTCTGTTGCTCCCTCAGACCTACTTACTTCTCTATAAGATTCCCAGGTGATTCACAGCACATTAAAGTTTTTGAAAAACGGACCTAAAACACAAGTCTTCAGGGATATTACTTGGACAAAACATTTCCATTGCAAATGATTTGGAGAAATGGTGAGAACATTTCCCTTGTGTGTAGTCACAAAGCACATTATCGTTTTAAAAAGTTTTATAGTGTTATAGTGGTCTCTATTTTAAAAACCTATTTTTCTTGAACTTAAAAAAAAATTACTGAGCTACTATTAACATACAAAAAGCTGTACATATTTATACAATTTGATGAGTCTGGAGATACGTATACACCCATGAAACCATCACCACAATCAATGCCATAAACATATCCATTCCTCCAAAAGTTTCCTCTTGCCCTACCTATCATCTATTTTGTAATAAGAGCACTCAACATAAGTTCTACTCTTTTAGCAAATTTTTAAGTACGCAATGCAATATGGCTAACGATACTATGGCTACTGTGCCACACAATAGATCTCTAGGGCTTACTCATCTATCATAACCAAGACTTTGTACTCTTTGACCAATACTTTCCTGTTTTCCCCTTCTTCTAGCCCGTGGTAACCACTATTCTACCCTCTGCTTTTATATTTATGACATAAATATTTTATGTCAATATTTGTCCATCTGTGTCTGGCTTATTTCTCTTAGCAAAATGGCCTCCAGGTTCACCCATGTTGCCACAGATGGAAGGATTTCCTTCTTTTTTAAGGTGAATAATATTCCATTGTGTCTAAATACCACACTTTCTCAAAGAGGTTAAATCACAGATCTGAGGTCACAGAACGGATAGGGCTGACAAAATTTGAATCTCCATCTTTGTGACTTTCAAGCACCTCGATACTGCTTCAATGTATATTACTTTTATTACATGCAATTCCAGAGATTTATAAGGACCCCCCAACAGTGTGAAGTTCTTTGAACTCTGCTAAAATATTAATATAAAATGTTAAATGCCACCCACAGAGTTTCTTGTAAAGCCCAGCCTTTGCTAAATCAACATATTGCCACTACAGACATTTACATAAGATCCAGCTACTGGCATTTAATAGTATTCTGAATTTAAATGCATCAGTGCATTATCCCTACTGAGTTTAATTGGTTTAGGCAAATTACCATTACTATGCACTACTCATTACTGAAAATGGCCAAAAGATGATAAGCAAAAATGTTGCTACTCTGAAAGCTTTTCTCATGTTCTCGCAACTAGGGGTGATTAGCTAGCTCAGAAAAGCATCTCTCCAGTGGCCATGATGTATCCAGCTGGCCTGATTCATGGGCTGCCTACCCTCCCACTGCCGGTCCAGGAGATTGTCTTGAGCCTTCCCCATGCTCCTCAGCATGAATGCCACTGATGTGAGCCCGACAGGAAGTGTGACCTCATTCTGCCTCTCAGCGGCTGGTGACGCAGGCTGTTTTTGAAAGAAAACAAAAGCAGTTACAACGCTGGCTTTCCCAAGAACTACATGCTTTTCTATTCCAGGAAACAGCCAAAAGAACAACACGAAACTTCTCTGCATACACCTGCACATGGAGATGTGTGCAGGCATCTCTTAGAAGGAGGGAAAGATGGGATTTTCCTTTCTTAAGAGACGTATCTACCTGTTGACATTCTGAAATTATTTTCAGCTGAAGAACTGCTGAAGTCTTGGACTTCTCCGCTGTCAACCACAGGAAGCTTCATATTTCAGTAATTATTTTGTTACTTATCAGTGGGAAGAGGAGACTGGGAACTCCCTTTGGAAGGAACATGTATGGGCAAATTATTTTCCAGGACAGATCTGTTGCTTTGATGGAACTAGTAAATAGGATCTGTGTCTTGAAAAGTTTTAGAGGTGTCACTGAAGTCTTTTTTTCTTTTCAATGTTACTGATACTCGATAAACTGTTAGTATAGTGTCTGTAGCCTGCTGCAAGTATGTGTAAGATACAGTGATAAGACTCTGCTTTCTGCCACAGGACTTGTTGGCTTAAAAAATTAAACTTAATCCTTGGGAAAAACTAACAGGGTAATTTGAGTTGCACATACTCATATTGTATCAATCAAAAAATCAGAAGGACAAATGATATACCATTATATTATAGTGCAAACAATATTATTTTATATTCCAAACTAATGAAATCTATGAAAGTGTGCTTTGATTTAGAGATCTTCCAGGTCTCACTTCTCCAAACATCCCTGTATAATCCAGGATCTATATTTTCTAACAGGTTTTTGTGCTGTCTATTGAAAGAATGCATTTGGAGCTATAGAATTATCCTGATTTGATTTAATGTATGATGGCTTCAAAAACAGTCCATTACTAGTCACCACCTTTTAAAAATGTGGATAGAGGTGATAAATCAGAAAAGAATGTAGTCCTATCTTATAGAGCTATTAGGATTATGATAGATACAAAATGTAATAGTGAACAGAAGATAGGCCTACATACTGAGCGGTAAATGATCAATGTTTACATTGTTTACACACTTGGATATGTGTTTAATTTGTAGTTGAGAAAGTAAATTGTATGTTAATGAAAACAGAGCTTTGAAATCTGTGCAGTGGCACACTATTTTAGTGCGATGTTGTTTCTGCTTAGGAATGTGCAGGTTGTCAACAAGTACAAACACCACCCGCCCTCGGTATGACTACCTGTCAATGGTTCCAGGTGTTAGGGGAAAGACAGACACCAATCCCCAAGCACTGTTTGAAACTTGATAATGAGGTTGATGTGTCTTGGGTGATGAAAATGCAAGATGTTCCTTCAGGGGGCTCTAGAACCAATTGCTTTTCAGATTTCCTAACCACGTAACTCATTTTTATTATTTTACTTTGATTAAAAGTCAACCTTTATTGAGTGTAGCTTTCCCCAATAAAATGTTATTCTTATTTACAGACAGAAGTTGCTGAGATGCACTAAGCAAGACAATAGAAAGTGTGATGCAAAATTGTAGAGGCAGACACAACCTCAGCGGCCCTTCAGGCCAGCTCCTGCCTTCAGTCCTATTATGTTCTTCATGTCTGTATTACTTCAGTAAACAAATCTGCCTAGTGCAATTAGTAGATGCCATCTGTTTTGGCATCATTTTTCTATTTTTAATATATAATTCACCTTTTTTTTAATGTCTTTTGCAGAAAATCTGTGAAGTTTGAGCAAGCATCCTCCCCAAGATGTACCGAATATCTCAACTGATGTCAACGCCAGTGGCAAGTCAATGTAGGAGAACTGCTACACGCAATTATCTTTTGAATGATGAGACTTCGTTTAGCAATTTCCTTGCTTTGATTTTGCTGAGACTCACACCATTAACCATCTGTCAGTTGCTTGTGCTTTGTAAATGCCAGTGTTCCCTTTGGCAAGGATTTTGACTTCATTTCTTTCCTTGAGAGACATGTGGTATTTTTCTTTTAGTAGGAAAAAAAAATCACCGTTTTTTTTAGATGCCTGCGCATAAATGTGAAAGGAGACTGTTTATCAGCTACTATTAAGATGCAAAACTGTTTGTCTATAAAAAAAAATACTGAATGATTTTGACAGCTACTTGCAGAAAATAAGGGCGTTGTTCAAACGGTAGTGGTTTCAAGTTCCTTCCTTCCTCTTGTCATTTTCTCCCCAAACCCTGCTTCTAACCCTCCCTCACACACCTACAATTTTCTCCTGACAAATCAACCAGCCCAATCTGAAAGTCTAAATTCTTTTCTTTGTCTCAGATGTTAATTGTCAGTAATGGAATCAAGTTTCACCGAGCCTGTCTATGAGAAGTATTCGCACCATTACCCTACGATGTAAAATCTGCTTTAGAGCTTAGGAAATTAATCAAAGGAAACGCTCCCCAATTGAAATATGTTGCATAGCTTTGGTTAAACTGCAAAGAATGAATGGTTTTCTTTTTTTTAATTAAGAATACTTACAGGCTTTATACACTGGAAAACCATTTATATAAAACAAAACTATTTTTTTTCCACAACCAATGTCTTCTGCTCATTATTTTATAACAGAAATGCCTTAAAAGGCACTAATGAGAGAGAGTCTAGGCAGATGATTGAATTGCTCAAATTACTGAGTAAGCTGAAATAACCAGAACACTGGGTAATTGATTTGGGTTTTCTACAGCTTCACACAAGATGTATTCTTCCTCCTTTTCATGAGTCAGTTTGATGCTAATGATTTATTATTGCCCCCTCTTGTACTACGGAACCTCACAAGGAGTGTTGAGTGAGAGAAGAAACAATAGAGGCTCCTAGATTACCCCTGGCTTCCCAGAAGTAGCAGCCTGGTGACAAGCTGCGTTAGTACTGACCCTGGATGATTGTACCAGTTGGAGCGACCACTGCTGGTGTATTGGCTGGTCACACCTCCTTTAAAGTCCACAGGTGGCAATCATGCATGTGGGTGAGGTGTGATGAATGTGTGCTTCTTTCTTATATGCTTAATGACAAATTCGTGCTTCTCCCTCATTTGCTTTAATGTCACAGGTTCTTCTGGCTCCAAGAGAGAATGTACTGGACAGCTGTCTCCCTCGTGCATTTTCCCAAGGTACTTCGTGGGGCTTTTCTCAAGAAAACTCGAGTTCTCTTCCTGTGTGTCTTACTTTGTTGTATTCATGGTTTAAAAATATTCCCCGTAGCTATCATCCAGTTTTGGTGGGTATAAATATTCAGTCCCATGCGTACACAAAATGGAAACTTGCTTAACCTAACAATGAATCTTTTTGGGGGGTGGGGTGTCAGTGTGTGGGCAAATGTGAGCTGTTTATTTGATGATTGGGGAAATTACTGAATACTGGTGTATGGTTACTTCTTCTCAAACTGGAGTTCCTTTAAACATGCTCTACTTTATAAGAGCAACAAGATTCTGCACTAGTGCACAAGTTGACCAAATGTCACATTCCATGAAAACGTAGAATCAACCATTTTGTTCAAGTTCTTCCTTGCAGAGAAGCCTCTTTTCTTCTCCTTCCTTGCATTTCTTGTTTCTGTCCCTCTGTCTTTGATTCCTTATGCAGATATCAGTTGATGTATTGTCTAGTATTTTATGAAATGTGCCAATGGCGATAAGAGATCATGCATTGGTATTAGAACCTGCCCCTTTTTGTAAATTCTAGGTCTTCTGTAACTCTTGAGGGAACTAGCCGAGGATGAGCAAGCAGGCTGTGTGGAAAAAGCACATGTTTGGAATCAGACAGACCAAGGCTCAATCCTAGCTTGCCATTTGCTAGCTATGCAAAATATCCAAGATATATATGCCTTTCTTCAACTCATTTTTTTTCCCTGCTTTTTAGTATAGATGATAATACTTAATTTTTGGGGAGGTTTGTGTAAAGTAGATGAAGCATGAAGTATGGGCCAGGCCCATAGTAGGTTCTCAATAAATAATACCCATTTAAAGTAGTCTTTTTACTAACTTCAGTGTAATTATTGTGAACAGGCTTTTTAATTTAAAGATTTATCAGATATTCAGTAGAGCATGAGGTGTGAGCTTGCCTTTCAATCACACAGGCATGTGATTGTTTTTCAAACCTGAGACACATACAGATTTACCCAACTAAATAGAAGAATTCCCTAGATACTGAATCAGGGAAGGTAACCGCATGATCATTTGTGCAGCTGACCCAGAGGGAAAACAGCAAAAGCCAGAAAGATCTGTTTGACTGTCTGGTGGCTACGGAGATACAATTTGTCTATTACAGGGACAAAAGTAAGACTATGGCAATTGGAGGGCTAATCAAAGAAAGGGGAGTGGAGGAGACTACGAGCTCCCAACATCCCAGATGGGCAGCTTTGTAATTTTTCCATCTAGGAAAATGGATTACTATAAATGGTGTAGATGCCTAACACAGTAAAGAAACTGACAAGCCATAACATTTTCACTAAAGTGTTTAAAACAGAAGGAAGCGCTAAATGCCCTGTAGCTTAATGCTCTCATGGGTGAGGAGATGAAGCTGAGAAGATAAGTGACCTTCTTAGAGCTGCAGAAGTAACTAGTAGCCATGAATGCAAAGTGATGTTTTCCTTTTCAGTGATTAGAAACAGGGATTTCATGGGGTTGGATCTACTGGATGGAGATTTAAAGGATTTGCCTTGTTTCCTCTTTAGTTTGACCTGTGATTTCCTGGAAAGCGACAGCTCCTTTGAATGCTGCTCCATAGATCCCCTGACTGGCCCCCACTTTACCTGTCGCCGAAGCCCCAGACTTCTTACCAATGGCTACTATGTTTGGACAGAAGACAGTTTCCTCTGGGACAAAGATGGCAGCATGACCCTGAGCCCACCCCAGACCAGTGTTCTGTACAAGGAGAACTTAGTGAGGTAAGAAGGGGGTATTTATTACATGAAAGGTTCTGAAGGCCAATCCATCCATTCATCTGTTTACTCAACAGTCATTTATAAGAAGCCAACTATGGAAACACAAGGACTACCAAAGGGCAGGGGAGCCTGCAGGGAAACACGCAAAGTGACCAGGGGACACGGGTGCTGGAGTGAAGTCTGAATGGGGAGTAGAGGCGGACGAAAGGAAAGGAGGCCTGCTTACTGGGAGGAAGAGGTTAAAACAAGCTTCCTAGTGATGGTGGTGGTTGGTTTGAGTCTTGAGAGATGTAGGATATTAGTTGAAATAGAAATAGGAAAGGGGAATCTGGAGAGAGGGAGCAAGCATGGAGTTCTGAGAGCCCCTGATACAGTGTAGCGAATGGCAGGTAGGGAAAGAGCTTAGGGTGGGCAAGGACGGCTCCGCAAGAGAAGACAGAGCACAGGTGCAGGGGCTGAATAGACGGGCTCAGTCCCAGGCCTGGGGAGTTTGTGCTTTATTCTGTAGATGAAGAGGAATCACTGGCAAATCATCAAATTTGTCCTTAGCAAGATAACACTGACTACGATACAGAGGACGGATTGTTGGGAGTGTGTGTGG